ACGACTATGAAAGCTTCTGTGCCACGTGTGTAAGTCATGAAGCTGAGCTGCTTGGATTGTTGCGAAGTAAAACAAATTTTCACAGTCAATGTGGTACATACCGTGGCCATGGGTAGCTAACAAAAGCTGCAATGCGCCGCAGATGAAGATGTTGCTGCCGGAGTCTCGGTGCCAGTTTATACATGTACAGTGACTTATTCAATCTGCACTTGTTCCAGTCAAAACTAGCCTCTGGCAAAACTAGCCTCTGGCAAAACTAGCCTCTGTCAAAACTAGCCTTTGTCAAAACTAGCCTCTGGCAAGTGTTAGAATTGAACCATTGACTTGATTAGGAATCATACGGGCTTACATAGTTGAAGCTAGGGGAGAGGGGTTGGTTGGGTACCTAGTCAACACTATTGGCCCCCCACCAATAAGTTAGGTTGGAGAATTATTGGGGGGTCCCAATAATGTTGGCCAAAAGTGGGCCAACATTATTGGGGGGGGCAATAATCTCTCAACTCAACCTTGGAGGCCAATAATTGGACCAAGGTTGGGTTCCAACCCCCAACTAGAATTAACCCTAGTTGTGCACCCAAACATAGTTTGGGTGCCTATCTCTGTCCTAGGGTTTATAGGATCAATGCAGGATACAGAAGAGTAGTATAATCTAAAAGCAAGGGCATGTCTTTTTAGTCAACGAAATGTCGTGCCAGTCACTAAGTCTCTCACTCGTTAATGGTAAGTCACACCAGTCAATGCCAGGCCCACTAAGTAATGCTAAGTCATACCAGCCAATGCTCATCCCATAAATAAAAGCTAAGTCATGCCAGTCAATGCAGATTTGTGCTGGGCAATGCCAAGCTATGCCTGTTAGTGTTAGACCTCAATCTCAACTTTTGTACTTGCACTTTTTATTTCCTAGCTTAGTGTAGTTTGCACTTTGTGTTGGTTGGGTGTACACGTACGTTCCAACCAAACCCAAATATGATCATCAAACAATCTCCAACCCACCAATTGGAGATTACCTTGGGATTGCCCCCTATCCCATAGGTATTGCACTCGATTCCCTCCCCATCCCCATACCTTTGCGCTCATTACTAATGTATCAGTTCGAGCTCAGTTCTGACAATGCTTGTATTTACATTCGTGCTTTCCAACTTCGTGCGTCCAGAGCAGGGTCACTAATTTCATCACTTGTGTTTCTGGTGCTTCAAAACTTGAGATTCGGGTGCTTCAGTACTAGAGATTCTGGTTCTTCAATGCTTGTGATTCTGGTGTGCCTGTGCATGTGTCCCGCTGCAGCAGCCTCACCTCCATCACCAACCGTGACCTCCCTCCCACGATCGCCCAATCAAACCGCCTACTCAATCTCCTCCTCTGCGCTCACTTCCCCTTCTGGCCTGTCCGTGGGAGCTGTCCTTGGCATTGTGACAGCAGCCGTTCTGCTCTTGCCTCTCATGCTTGCCTTAGCTTGGTGCCTTGGCGCCCACTTCAAAATTTCCACAAAAGGTAGGTGTTTTACGTGTTTGCCTATTGTCATGCATGAAAGCACAGGTGGTGAAAAGAACCACCTCACTTTCTGTCTAACTTCACCAACAAGCTCCACGTCTTCGTCTAACGTAAATAGCAAAGCTGCTGTGCTCTCAGATGTGTTAGTTCACACAAAGCCCCCCCGCCTTCCCCCCCCTTCCTCCCACATTTTTTTTGTGCCGTTTACCATACCATTCTCCCTACAGACTCACCCAGCCCGCATTTAGGGAACGCAACGACACCATGCCAACGGTACTCCCTGGCTCTCGTGGCTCGTGCGACCAACAACTGGTCCAAGGAGTGTCTGCTGGGGTCGGGCGCGTACGGAGACGTGTATCGCGGGGTGTGCCCCGAGGATGGCACCACGCTGTGGGCCGTGAAGCGCGCCAAAGTCATCACCGCTGACTTCCACAGAGAGGTGGGTCAACAGTGATGCCACTGATTTTATACGCCACGTGCGTGTGCAAGTGACATCCAAATACAAATTTCTCAAATAGAGATTCTAGACGAGCCAAGGTCATTGCCACCATCTTCCACAGAGATGTGGGCCAACTTTGGTGCGAGTGTTTTTGGGGCGCTCCAAGGTAGACTCATTTGGAGGTGTGTACCGCATGGGTTATATCTCGACTTGCGGCAGGCCATTGCAAATCTGGGAGGAAATGTTGTTGCAACAACTTCTCAACCAAAACCTAGTTTAAGTGTGGAGGTATTTGGTTTTTCTTTGCTTCTCTGTTTACCTTAGGCCTATTTGCTATCGAAATTTCGCATGTTTTTCTTCATACTCCAAGAGTACTACCCTGTTGAAATTGTAGTCATACTGAATATGTTCAAGGGAATGTATGAAAAACCAAGTTGCTCGTACAATACACAAACGTCTGCCTATCCGTGCTGCATTGTTTCAGTCCCTCCATCCTCCGCTGCCAGCCACTCTTCTCTTGGTCTAGCACAGGTGGCTCAGGCCGCCACGAAGCAGCTCCCCAATCTGGTGTGGCTGCTGCTGGGGTGTGGTGTTGGAGGCCTTCCCTGCCTCAAAAGGCTTGCCGCTCCTCCCTGATTTCATGCAATCCGTCCTTTCTTCCTACTCCTCTCTCCTCGTGTTGGCTACCACAGGTGGCACAGATGGCAACAAAACACCATCCGAATCTGGTGCGGCTGCTGGGGTATGCAGTGGGAGGCCATGTGAACACGCGGGTGGAGAACATTCTCGTCTACGAGTTCATCGCCAATGGCGACCTGCGCACCTGGATTGCCCCAGGTACCATCCAGTCCATTGTTGTGTGCTGTGTCAACCATCCAGTTGTGTGGATAGAGAAACGCAAAAAAAAACAAAACAAAACAAAACAAAACAAAAAAAACGCAAACACACACACACACACACACACACACACACACACACAAAACAAAAAAAAAAACAAAAAAACACACACACACACACACACACAAAAAAACGCTCCTGAAAAGCTAAAGAGTTGAAAGCTACCGCGGAGATGCTTGTGCAAGAGTTGCACGAGGTCAATGCTCGACTTATAGCAGCTGAAAAGGAAACGCAGCAATGGCTGATGAGAATATTGGTGCAGAAACCAGGGAGAGTAAGAGTGTTGTTGTTGCTGTGGACAACGAGAAGGGAGTGCACAAGGGTGACACTCGTGAGCAGCAGAAACTTCATGTAATGGTGCAGCCGAGGGTTGAAGCTGTTAAGGAGAAGACAATGTATTAGTGGATATTGGAGTCATCATAACTTACTGGTTTTTTGTTTTCTTTCGTTTTTGTCCTGACACAATTCTACATAAACATATAAAAGAAACCAAAACGGGCGAGAGTCTTAAAGTGAAACTTGCGCCTAAGTTTTCAACCTTGGAAGTAGGTCGGGCTGACCCATCACATCAGGTGTGACGAGCCAGGGAGGTCCATCACGAGCTGTGGTCGGGACTGACCTCCCTTGCACATACCAAATCTGCAGTGGCTAGCGAATCGGAAGCTCCAAAGCATGCCTTTCTTGGCTCCCGATCACACTGATGCTTCTTTCCTCCAATGCTGCTTCCCTCAATGCGGACTTTCCTCTGCTCTGGCACTCTCCAGATGCGTCCACAAGTTTGACTCTGCAGCAGCGGGTGAGCATCCTCCTGGGGGTGGCTCGTGGGTTGGAGTATCTGCACAGCTTTGGCCTCGTGCACCGCGACATCAAGCCAGCCAACATCCTCATTGACGCCCACATGCAGGTGGGGTGGTTACATGTTGGCAACACACTTGCTTCACATGCGGGTGAGCTGATCAGATGGCTAGACACTTGCTTCACATGCAGGCGCGGTGGTCAGGCGTTCATGCATGATATCAAAGGGAGTGCAGGTATGGTGATCACATGGTTGTTCATGATAACGAATGGAGCGCAGGTGCAGCAGTAAGGTGTTACAGCCATCAAGTATCACTTATCCCATCTGACTCGGATGAACCCATTTTGCCCAAATCCTCCCCCAGGCGAAGGTGGCAGATTTTGGGCTTGTGCACGTGGGGGAGGGCGCGTCATCGGGCTTCACGCCAGTGCTGGGAACGGTGGGCTATGTGGACCCTGCTTACTCTCTCACGCACAACGCCACCACCACTGCTGATGTTTATAGGTGCATGCAATGCAAATCAAAATGCAAAATTCTATAACAAGCTGGACTCGTAAATCAAGTAATGTGACATGAAACCACCAGTGTCCACATACACAATGCACCCATGTAGTGCGGATGTATAGTGAATGACACGTGTCAAACAGTAGTTTAGAGGGTGATGTGGTTCAAACCTTAGCCTCTACTTTACTGAAAGAATTAGTGAAAGAATTAGATACAATGGAGTTGAGGCTTAATGCGCGCTCCAACATCCCCCACTTGCATTCGTTACTCTCATGGCAAGGTGGCTCTTGGCAATGATTCTTTCTCATCCCCAAAAATGATACTTTTCCTTGCCTCCTTTCGTGTTTCTCCATCAAACGTGTTCCGGGGTGCAGCTTTGCCATCATGTTGGTAATTCTTTCTGACAAAGGAGCCACCATCAATGCGACGAGCCTTGGTGACCGTGACCACCAAGAGCTCATTTGAAGGGAGCTAGTCCTTGTTTGTGCTCGGATGTGTTTCGTGGTGCAGCTTTGGCATTCTCATGCTGGTGATGCTGTCAGGCAGAGGAGCCACCATCAGTGCGATCAGCCCATCCACTGAGCCAATCTCCATCTCCAAATGGGTGTGTCTCCAAATGGGTGTGTCTCCAAATAGGTGTCTTTGCAAATGGGTGTGTTACCGTTCCCGCTTCCGCCCGTCAATGTGCACTGTTCTTTCCTGCGCTCTAATCACAATCACTTACGCTCGCTCTCGTCAGGGTTCCCTTCACCTCTTGCGCCGCGGCATGTGTTTTCCCCCCCTATCATGTACTCTCCTATGCCTGATCAAACCGTTTTGCCCTCTATCATGTGTTTCCTGCCCCCCTTCGTCTCTGCCTGCCACACATCCCAGGCAACGGCTCTCATGGCGGAAGGGAAGACATCACCCCTCAGGGACCCGCGAATGGAAGCACCTGATGACATCACCATTCGCCTTGCCCACCTCGCTGTCACCTGCACTGCCATGCCCACCGCCTCCCGCCCCTCCATGTCCCGAGTGGCTCAAGACCTGGAGGCAATACGAGAGGAGGTGGGAGGGAGGGATGCGAGAGTGAGAGCTGCAGCGAGGATTGACGAGAAGCTGTCGAGCCAGCAGTTGCGGAGGAGCATGGAGGAGGATCTAGCATTGCTGAACGAGCAAGTCACGCATGAGGGTGACGCAACAGCTGTCTCTGTACGGACATGAGGCGCTTTTGAAGAACTTTAATAATAGGTGCCTCACTAACTAGTCAGCGGTTATTAAGGAGCTTACAGAAGGACCTTGCATTGCTGAATGAGCAAGTCATGCATGAGGGTGAAGCAACGGCTATCTTCGCACAGACATGATGGCTTGCGGAACAGCTTGGAAGGATGTAAAAAACTACTTCGGTACCACAATTTGGGTTTCTATATCAAAGTGTGTACAGTAAATGTCTCCAAGTAGTTGAAGGTAAGCATTTGGTTCTCGTCTGTGCCACAAGCATGTGCCCCCAGCCACTCAGCCAATCTATCTGTACGTTTTATCCTTGTTCTTTGTCAAGAGCAGAAACCCATTTACAACTTTGACGAACTATGTGTTGGGCTGAGAAAAGCCCGTAGGATCTTTTGCAGGGGTGAACTCTGGGTAGGACTGATGTAATAGCGGAAGCGTTTAGTGAAGAATTGTGAACCACCTTGCGTTAGTATGTGAAGGCAAAGTAAGTTGATTAAAGCAAAGAGATACAGGATTATATATGAGTACAAGGAATATGAAGAGGTACAGTTATAACTACTTTACTGTTGCTGTTGCGGTTCGATACAGTGACGACTCGGGCAACTGCTCTGTAGCGAGTCAGTTGTGTGTCCTTGCTGTCGCGCTGTACTTGTCAGGTCAAAGGTCGCTGACCTTTGACTTTCGCGTAATCTCCAGCAGTTACTTCAACCTCCGAGGGTTGACTCGCTGGTGCCTCGATATGCTTCGCTTCGCTTGTGCCTTGGTGTTTCGACACGACAGAGGCGCTTAAGCTCGATTGTTTCCAACACTCCCCTTCGCTTCTGGAGTGTCACTGTTGGTGACGTGGCTCTGTCCAGTCAGCAGCATGCAGTACTCGAACTTCTGTTTTCCGAGCTTCTTGGTCAAGTAATCAGCTGCCATCTCGGATGTGGGGCAGTATGACAGCTCGAGTCTCCCCTTCTCGATCTCGTCCTTCACGAAGAAATATCGCAGGGCGATGTGTTTCGTCCTGTTCACGAAGCCGTTCTTGTTGGCGATGCGAATTGCTGACTGGTTGTCGCAGAATAGGGTGAAGCTGGATAACTGAGCTAGCTTCGCTTCTTCCAGGAGTTCGCGAAGGTAGAGTCCTTCCTTGGTGGCTGAGCAGAGGGCTATATATTCTGCTTCAGCTGAGGAGAGCGCGATTAATTCCTGTTTGCTCGACTGCCAGGAGATAGGTCCGATGGGTTCGAACCGATAGATGTAGCCGGTGCGCGAGCGTCTGTTGTCGGAGTCGCCCGCGTGATCGGCGTCGACGTAGCCGATTAGCTTAGGCGTTGTAGTTGCGTTCTTGTGGTAAGTCAGACCGATCGTCGGGGTGCTGACGAGGTAGTGAAGAGCGCGGTCGAGCTCCGCCAGGTGTTCCGTTTCAGGCTTCTTGAGGTAGGTGGCGAGCTGGCTTGCAGAATATGATAGGTCCGGGCGGCAGGTGACAGCTGCGAAGAGGAGGCATCCTAGCTTCCTCTGGTAGCCGCGTGTGCCGGCGGGCTTGAGTAGAGTAGAGCCTCCCTTGATGTTTCCTGTCGTGTAGCGGTACGGCGTGGAGATGACGGTCGGTGTGAGTCCGAAGCGCTTGGCGATGGTGTCGGCGTATTTCGCTGCGCTGAGATAGATCGCGTCTTCCTCTTCCTGGATGTTGAGCCCGAGGTAGTGAGTGACGGTAGATGAGACCGTGAGTGTGAGGTCTTGCTGCAGCTCCCCTTCGAACCAGGTTGTGACACCGTCAGTCGAGCCGATGTAGAGCAGATCATCTACATAGACGATTAGCAGGATGTAATCGGTGCCTTTCGTAAGCCGGTACATGCCCTGATCGTGCGGTAGTTGCTTGAAGCCGATGCGAATGAGGCGAGCGTGCAGGTATTGTTGCCACAGTCTCGGAGCCTGCTTGATCCCGTAGAGCGACTTCAGCAGCTGACAGACTTGGTTAGGCTCTCCGTTGGAGCCGTGCGGTAACTCGAAGAAGATTTCTGCGTCGACAGGTGCGTAGAGAAATGCGTTTGCGACGTCGATTTGTCGCAACTTCTTCTTCTTCATGGCGGCGATCGCGAGGAGGATTCGCAGTGAGATATGTCGGCTGACCGGAGCGAATGTCTCGGTGAAGTCGCGTCCGTGTTCTTGGTTGAAGCCACGTACGACCCAGCGTGCTTTCAATTTGTCGATGGTGCCGTCTGCTTTTGTTTTCACTCGGAAAACCCACTTTCCGGTGAGAATCGTTTTGTTCCGCGCAACACTGATAGGGACGACTTTCCAGGTGTTGCGCTCCTCTAGTGCCTTCAATTCCCTGTCCATGGCTTCGCGCCACTTTTCCCTGTGCTCCCCCCCCAGAGCCTGCTGAACTGTCGCAGGCTCCTTAGGAATCACAGTGCCGTGGACTGCGGTGACGAGCCCGAGTATCTGGAGTCCACTCTGTGTGTAGCGGGGGAGTGACATGTCCGCGGGATAAACAGCTTCGTCTCCCGCTTCTGGATCAGGTGCGAAATTGGGTCCTACGCGTTCTGCTTCGTCGGTGTTGACTTGTGCAGGTGTAACGTAACCGTTGTCAGCGAAATGGTAATAGGTTTCGGCGTTAATGCTTTCGCGTGGGTTTTCGTCGTCCATTGGCACGTCGACGGAGCAGTAGGGGAGAGGTCCGGCTTCTTCCGAGGCTCCTTCCACGTTTTGCTCGTCCCAGTCAGCTTCATCGTCTACCGAGGCGAAGGCTCGGGTGCCAAGAAAACCATCGGAACGATCGGGGTTTCTTTCTTGCAAGTTGGCAAGGTAATACCGGAGGGTGAGGTTTTCGTAGAAGATGACATCACGTGCTGCTACTGTTTCCTTTGTCTCGACGTCGAAAATCTTCCATGCGTTGTAATTCTTTTCGATGCCCAGGTGTAGTCCCCACTGTGCGCGTTGGGAGAATCGGCCGGCTCGTGCAGATGGGGGTCGGTACTGTACCATGCAGCCGAAGACCCTTAACATTTTTGTGCTGCCCAGTTTTCCTGTCCACGGCAGATGCGGTGATGCGTTGTTCGGGAGCGATGATGATGAGAGCAGGTTGTGCAGCATGACGGCGTGGTCCATTGCTTCGGGCCACTGGTGGTTGGGCAGGTGCATGCCACGTAGCAGCTTGCGCATGGTGTTCTGGAGGGTCCTGTTCATCCTTTCTGCTACACCCTGCTGTTGATGGGCGTAGGGAAGAGAGATGAGTCGCTTGATTCCTCTCTCTGCCAAGTATTCCTTGAACCTCTGTGAGGTGTATTCTCCTCCCCCATCTGACTGGAAGCTTTTTAGTTTGACGCCCGATTCTCGTTCTGCTACTGGAAGCCAGGCGACGAAGGCTTCGAAGGCCATGTCCTTGCTTGGAAGATTTAGGTGCCAGACGTATCGGGTGGCTGCTGTCAGAATGAGAAGTGATTGAACTATGAAAAGTTGGAGTACAAGTAGCAAACCCTAGCTTTGTGTACCCCCTAAAGGCTAACCCACTATAGCCTACACAACAATAACACATATAGTGTTTGACACACCCCCATAGGCAAAGTGGGGGAGAGCAAGGGGTCACAAGACCAGTCAAGAGAGGCAAGCAAGTTCAGGGTGGATCACAACGTCACCACACATTCCGAGCACAAGCAAAGGGCCACATGGCTAGTTCACATGCAGAAGTATATATGCAGCACAAACAACAAGGGTGATCTCAACCTAGCAGAGCAGACAGGCAGGAGTATATATATAGAGATCACAGTACAGGTAAAGCCTACAACAAGTGAGGAAAAGTGGGCACCAGCCCCAGCAAAGTGCAGAAGCGCTGATGATCACCAGGCTGAAGTGCCTTGGTGAATATATCAGCGGTGTTGGCCTGAGAGGCCACGTAACGCAGACGAAGCTGACCGCGCTGCTGCAGCTCTCGAGCAAGGAAGTAACGCAGAGCGATGTGCTTCGTTCTGTGCTCCAGTCTGTGCTCTTCACACAAGGCAATGGCAGCCTTGTTGTCGACGTACAGCACTGGAGGAGAACTAGGCTGCTCTCCCAGGTCGGTTAGCAGGTAGGTGAGCCAGCGTAACTCCTGTGCAGCCATGGCTGTGGCGTAGATCTCAGCCTCACAACTGGAGCTGAGAACTGAAGACGAACGCGTAGAGCGCCACGAAACTGAGCCAGAGCCAAGGCTGAAGGTGTAACCCTGTGACGACTGCTGAGTAGCCTGGTCGTCAACCCAAGAAGCGTCTGAGTGCCCAGTGAGAACAACTGAGCTCCCTCCCCCAAGCACGAGCCCCATGCCCGATGTACTGCACAAGTAGCACAAGACCCTCTTTGCAGCATCCCAGTGCACCTTTCGGTGCCTGCCAGGAGCCACGTAGCGGGCCAGAAGGCCAAGAGGGTATGCTAGGTCAGGACGAGTGCAAGTCATCAGGTACATGAGGCAACCAACTAGCTCTGGGTAAGGACCACTCGACTCTACGGACTCATCCGAAGGCAGAGCTGAGAGCGAGTGACCTACAGCCAGAGGAGTGGCCTGTGCTGAGGACCAGGTGAAGCCGAAGCGCTGAAGGACCTGCTGCACCATGTGTGACTGAGTCAGGGTAATGGTGCGGCGTGCTCTGTCCCGGGTGATCTGCAAGCCAAGGTAGCTGCGCAGTTCACCCAGGTCTGTGCACGTGTGTCTCTTCTGCAGCTCCGACTTCACGTGGGCGAGAGCCTCAGTGTCAGCAGTGGCAAAGACCAAGTCGTCGACGTACACGAGGATGTAGAACGGCGGCAGCGAAGTGTCGGTGCGTAGAAACAGCGACGGGTCAGCAGTAGAAGGAGCGAACCCAAGTGCCGCAAGAGTAGTCCTCAGTGTGTCGTGCCACTCACGTGGTGCCTGGCGGAGACCGTAGACCGGCCGCCGGAGGCTCCACTGGGTACCAGGAGGAAACGACCCAGTGAAGCCAGGAGGGCGGCGCAGCCAGATCTCCTCGTGCAGACTGCCCTGCAAGAAAGCT